TTTTGTTTGTCAAGCCAAATGACGCCAACCTTAATTAAAAAATCAAATGATAAATAAATAAATATATAAACATATAAACATATAAATTGTGAAAATATTCAAACATAAAGATACTTGCGATTTCGTTCCATTTCATGATATTTGATTCCATCTCTATTTTTTTACGTGAAACATCACTCGCACTTTCTAAATCATTCATTGTGTATATTGAATGCTTTGTAAAATTACTATGATCGACTATTTTTTCGGCAAAAGGTTGTGGTAACTGATCTTTCATATATAAATTAGATTTATTTACAATAGTAGACCTGTATAATTAATGAAAAGGTATAGTTGAAATAATAATACCATATTATATAATATATATATATTTCTTTATATCGTGGCTAATGCTGAAATTAGGCTTATTTTAAGTTGATATTTATGCGTCCGGTAAAATCTCGGTGTTTCATTTATTTTTTATTTTAGGACTAAGATCAGGATTAAGTTGTAAATAAAATATATAGTATAAATATATTTTATATATTCAAAGTCCCAAAAATTTCTCATTACAGATTTCAGCATCAGCCACGATATATATATACACATATATATATAATTATTGTTTTTTTTAAAAAAAAAAAAATTACAAGATAGATGAATTTTGATATCGACTATATAATGGCTTTATGATCACAGCTCCGATGAATTGAACCAATTCACCCTTTGTCAATGAGCCATTCCACAATGTTGCAGTATTTTTCCTAAAAATACAATGTTTCAGTTAAGTGTAATGAAAAATAAAAATAAGCTATAATTATAATACTTACAACAACTGTGTAAAATCCTCAAAGTTTTCTTCGACTTTTATACGACCAGATTTTTCTACATCCAAAATTGCTGGCTTTAAAGGAAATTCACAATCACTGTAAATTTGAACTTCGTTTGTGGAATTTACAGTTGATGCACGCGATGTATGCGGCGTTATAGACTCGTAAAGCTTTTGGTTTTTAGCTATATGCCGGTCGTTATCAGTAATCTTTGTCTTACCTTGACTTTAAGAATTTAAACAAATGTTAACCCACGATAAATATATATACAAATATGAGTA